CGGGGTAAAAATGGGAGTTCATAATCCACTTGAATCTAATGTATGAAATATGTCAAGAGCTTTGTAATGTTTTGAACAACTAATAATAATAATAAAAACATAAATAAAAATAAAATCACATATAAATTTCTTAAAAAAAACAAATATAAAAATACCAAATAAATAATCTAACATTACAACATTACATATCAAGACACTAGAAAAAGAAGGACAAACCAACACCCAAATCAGATATAAAAAAAAAAAAAGGACAGGAAATAATTTAAATCAGAACTAAAATCAATGAAATTAAGAAACAAATACAAAAGACTGACAAAACAAAGAGATGGTTTGGGTTTTTTGAAAGGATAAACAAGATTGATAAAACCTTAGCCAAACTAAYCAAAAGAAAAATGGAAAAAACTCAAATTAACAAAATTTGAGATGAAAAGGGAAATATCACCACAGACAGTACTGAAATCCAGAGGGTCATCAGAAACTATTTTGAATGTTTATATTCCAATAATCTGGAAAATCTTGAAGATACAAATTTCTAGGGACATATGACCTACTCAAATTGAACCATGAGGATACAGAAAACTTAAACAGATCAAAAATCAAATAATGAATTTGAAGCAGCTATCAAAAGTCTTCCAACAAAGAAAAGTCAAGGACTGGATGGATTTTCAGCTGGGTTCTACCAGACTTTTAAAGAAGAACTAATACCAATTCTCCTTACATTATTCCATGAAATTGAAAAGGAGGGAATTACTTCAAACCAATATCCTTAATGAGAATAGATGCAAAAATTCTTACTAAAATATTGGCAAGCTTAAAAAGATAGTGCGTCATGACTGAGGGGATTTCATCCCAGGGATGCAAGATTGCTTCAACACATATAAATCAATAAATATAATTCACCACATCAATAGACTTAAGGACGGGAATCACATGATTATCTCACCAGATGCAGAAAAAGCACTTGATAAAGTACAGCTCTCATTCTTGTTTAAAACACTAGAAAAAACAGGGATAAAAGCAATTTACCTCAATATTTAAAGGCTATATTTGATAACCCAAGGCTAACATGATACTGAATGGAGAAAAACAGAAAGCATTTCCTGMAAAAACAGGAATAAGACAAGGATGACCACTTTTACCACTCTATTCAACACAGTCTTTGAAAATCTAGGCACAACAATCAGGCAAGAGAAGGAAATTAAAGGGATACAAAGAGGAAAAGAGCTTAAATGATCTGTTTGCTGATGACATAATACTATATTTAGAAGACCCAGAAAACTCCACCAGAAGACTTCTAGAAACCATAAATGAATTCAGAAAAGTAACAGGATTCAAGATCAACACTCATAAAATAATCATGATGAATCTGCTGAAAAAGAAAGTAGGAAAACTATCCTATTCACAATAGCCCTAAATAAATAAATACTTGGGAATCAATCTAATAAGAGATGGAAAACCTCTACAATGAAAACTACAGAACACTAAAGAAAGAAGTTGAAGAAGACCTTAGAAGATGGAAAGATCTCCCGTGTTCTTAAATAGGCAGAATTAAAATGGCTATACTACCAAAAGCACTATACAGATTCAATGCAATTCCATCAAAATTCAAATGATATTCTTCACAGAACTAGAAAAAGCAGTTAGGAAATTCATTTGTAAAAGTAAGATGTCCAGAATAGCCAAAGCAATCCTTAGCGAGAAAAGCAAAGCAGGAGGCATCACAATACCAGACTTCAAATTATACTACAGAGCTACAGTAACAAAAACAGCATGATATTGGTACCAAAAAGACATGAAGACCCATGGACTAGAACCGAAGACAAAGAGACAAATCCACATACAGTTATATGATACTAGACAAGGTGACAAAATCATGCACTGAAGAAAAGATAGCCTTTTGAACAAATGGTGTTAGAAAAACTGGAAATCCATATATAGAAGAATAAAATTTGACCCCTGTCTTTCACCCTGCACAAAACTCAATTCAAAGTGGATCAAAGACCTAAGAATTAGACTAGAACCCTGCACCTACTAAAAGAAATTGTAGGCCCAACACTCCATCATGTTGGCTCAGGAACTGACTTCCTTAACAAGACTCCTAAAGCACAAGAAATAAAATTTAAAATTAATAAGTAGGATGGCATCAAATCAAAAGGCTTCTTCACAGCAAAGGAAACAAGACCCTGACAAGAAACCATACAGATTGGGAGCAAATCTTTGCCACGTGTTCCTCAGATAGGATATTAGTATCTAGAATATGCAAAAAACTCAAAAAACCTTAAGAAAACAATAAATAAATGGACAAGAAAACTAAACAAACACTTCTCAAAATAAGAAATGCAAATGTTTAATAAATATATGAAAACATTAACATCTCTAGCAATTAGATAAGTGCAAATTAAAACTACACTGAGATTTCATCTCACTCCAGTCAGAATGGCAATTATCAAGAAGACAAGTAACAATAAATGTTGGCTAGGATGTAGGGGGAAAAGGTACACTCACCTTATCGATGGAATAGCAAATTAGTGCAACCCCTCTGGAAAGCACATTGGAGATTTCTCAGAACTAGGAATGGAACCACCATATAACTMAGCTATCCTACTCCTCAGTATATATGCAAAAGATTTAAAATGAGCATACTGCAGTTACACAACCCCATCAATGTTTATGCCAGCACAATTCACAATAGCCAACCTAGGTGCCCTTCAACAGATGAATGGGTAAAGTAAATAAAGTAAACATATACACTCAATGGAGTTTTACTCAGCCATAAAGAAGAATGATATTATGGCATTTGCCAGTTAATGGGTGGAACTGAAGACTTTCATGTTAAGTGAAATAAGCCAGTCCCAAAAAGTCAAATGTTGAATGTTTTCTGAAATGCAGAAGCTAATCCAAAATGGGGCAGGGGGTGGGGGGAGCTCAGAGGACGAAGTATCAGTAGAATAGAGAAAAGGATTGAAGGGGAGGTAGGAGAGATGGGATAGTAAAGAACAGCAGAATGAATCTGACTCCGACCTAACTTTCCTATGTACACATATGAATATACCACAGTGAATCTCACAATCATGTACATCCACAAGACACTGATTTAAAAAAAAACAAAAACCATAAGTAAATAGCAGAAAGATTTCAGTAGAATAGTGGAAAAAGAAAAGAAGAAGAGAAAGAAGAAGTACTGGAGGTTGAATTAGAACAAACGATATTCCAATGCTTTTATAATTATGTCAAAATGAATCCTAACGTAACATATAACTAGAAAGAACCAATAAAAAATCTGAAAAATTGTGCTGTATATGTGTAATAAGAATTGTACATTCTTTTTTAAAAATATTTATTATTAAGTTTTAGATGGACACAATATCTTTATTTTACATTTATGTGGTGCTGAGGATCGAACCCAGTGCCTCTTGCATGCTGGGCGGGCACTCTGCCACTGAGCCACAACCCCAGCYCCAAGAACTGTACATTCTTATTACATTCCACTGTCATTTATTTTTTAATAAATGCATTCCATTGTCATTAATTTTTAAAAAAAAGAACCAATAAAAAAGTATAAAGTACTATACTAAGACAGCAGATAAGGTATACACATACTGTGATGTTTTGTTAGGATATTACAGCAACATCCATGCTTTGCAAAAAGATAGAAAGGAGAAAGAAAAGAAATGCCATAGGAAGTTAGGGAAGGGAAAGCAAGGGAAAGAGGAAGACTGTTCAACCCCAGGATGTTCAAAACCAAGAGCATGCTAATTCCCATAAACCTACATAGACAGGATGATACCCACACAATCATTCCTCTTCAAAGCAAACCTTCTAATGAGAAAAAAAAATAATATTCCTTGAAAAGTCACAACATGCAATAGAATTATCTGATTTCCAAGAAGAAAGAAACAATATCAGAATACCTATAGTGATGATATTGATTTTTCCCTTTGTATCGTATTTCATTCAGTGTAAATTCTAAAGCCCATAGCTATAGGAGGAACACCAACAAGTTTTAGACAATGATAAAGTTACTGTATTTATTTTAAAATATTGTCTTAAACAACAAATAGTTTTACAAAAACCTGTGTCTTCTATTAACACAAATTAGATTTTTAAATGAAAATATACCTCTCACATTTGATCATTCATGAAGTCATACCCAGAATAAGAGACTGAGTCATGAACAGCAAATTTATATTCTTCTCTCCAATAAAGATATGCTCTTTTGTATAAAAATGACATACAATATACTATTCTTTCTTAAGAAGTAAAAACTATTGGTCCTTGTTTTGAGTCTCATAATACATACAGCATGAATGTTTTCTTTTACTCCTTCATACAACTGTAATCAATCCAGCCATGTCAAGCTCTTTATCAATTTTTATTTTAAAAATGTCATGAGCTGTGGCTAATGGACTTCTCAAGGTAGTAAAACAAAATGATTCAATATCAATAATGCAGATATATGTTCATTATATTCAACTTACCTAATACACTGACAAAAGCATCAAAAAGATGAAATGTAAGCAGTGGCTCTTTCAAGTGACCATAATAATCTGCTATAGTTTTAAATACATCTTTTTCAAATCCCAAGTACATAGGCTGCTTCAAATCTGAACAGTTGGGCCCTATTTTTAAAAAACAGAAAAAGAAACACTAATGGATCAATTACCTCTAAAGATTATAATCTGTACACAAGTGTGTTAGGTAAAGATATTCAAGATACATACAGAACAGAAAAAGATCATGGAAAACTAACATTATGTACATTGATATACATTTCACTTACACAAATATGTTTTCTAAGTTGAAATCTATTATAAAACAATGAGGCAAAGCACTGACCTACTTCCATTTTAAAAGAAATTTACTCTTTCTATTCTTCTAAAGAGCACACTTATGAAATGTAAACAATGATAATTTTCTTGGAAATATTCAAAATTTTCTTACTCTTGATAAATTAACCTATATAACAATTAGCTGATATATACAATAGACAAGTTATAAAGTGATTTTCATAGCTTTTCATTATTTCATCACTGGTATATTATTAAACCCTACAGTCATAGAGCTGAATAAAATAATCAAATTTCTGCCTCTAATTAAACTATTACAGACTAATGAAAATTCAAATTCTTTAAAAAAAAAAAAAGATAACCTGAAAAGGAGATTTTACATTTTGCTTATTATTCATTCTGATTTTAAACTCTCTAGTTGATTCCAGGCCAACCATCAAAAGATGACTTACCTCCACTGGCCACACCTACGCCTGCAAAAGACTAAACAACCACACCCAAATAGAGCTCTATCCCTGGGGGAATGAAGGAAGCAGACAAGATAAGTTGAAAGGAAATTCTTTCTACAGAATCACTGAAGTAAGGAAGGAAGAGCAAACTAGAAAGGGGTGCAAACCACTCTGGGCCTTCACATTTCAATCCAATGGAACATCATGAAATGTCTTTTTCTGGTCTCCCTAGGAACCTGCTTACCTTTCAACATTCTGTTCTCTTCTTATAAAATAATTTATTAGCTAAAATAATGAAATATCTATGCATGTGGGATCATGTAAAACCAGAGCAAATGTAGCTACCACTTCTTTTTTTTTTTGGGGGGGGGGCGGGATCGGGGTGTACTGGGGATTGTACCCAGGGGCACTTGACCACCGAGCCATGTCCCCAGCCCTATTTTGTATTTTATTTGGATACAGTGTCTCCTGAGTTGCTTTGTACCTCACGGTTGCTGAGGCTGGCTTTGAACTTGCAATCCTCCTGCCTCAGCCTTTTTAGCCGCTAGGATAACAGATGTGCACCACAACTCCTGGCTAGCCATCATTTTTGTTGCTTCCTACGGATACAGCCCAAGCTTAGCCAACTGAAATAATTAGTTTTATAACTCAGCAAGACACATTGCTTAGAACTAGTCACTACCAGGATAAGTATATGGTTCATTCTAAGCAGTTATATCCCTTTGTGAAGATTTCATCATCCTTTTTGAAAATAGGCAGAAAGAAAAACAAAACAGGTTTTCCAAAAAGAAAGAAAAGACAAGACAGTGCTCGGTGAGCTATATGAGAGGAGATAATATTTTTAAGATCTTTTCTTTCTTAACAAAATTTGAACTTTAAGAATATTTTTCTTTAATCTAGTTTTCTGACAAATTCTGGGAAATAAATGCTTTGGCTTTTTTTTTGTTTGTTTGTTTGTTTGTTTAAATTTGTTTTGATCAAATTTTTGCAATCTAACGTACAAGAAAGAAAACTCCAGTTAACCTGGTTTTGTATTTATTTAGCATTAATCCCTCATTGTGTAGACAGCCATGATTGTGCCTGGCCAACAACCAAAGCATGGAGACCCATATGCATATGGTCTACAATAATTGTGGATAGGACTTAAAGAGAAAGAGATGAGTAGCTGACTTACAGAAAAGGAGGCAAGTGGCCTTCGAATATCATTACTCAGCCTATCCTTTCTGTTTCGTTTTAGTTAACTGTAATAAGAATCTGAATTTAGAAAAGGAAAGGACCAAGAACACCTCATGAGTTKGATGGATTCAAAGTAAATGTCAAGGGTCAAGGAGCATTCTATAAAACTTAAGAGATTTTATGAAGCTATTCAAAAGGTCAACCTTGCCCTTTGGCCACCATTTATTCTTTGATACATCAATGAACATCTTTATGGACATGCCAACTATTGGTAAAGCATCCCACTTGGTTTATGTCAGCATGTTCCCAACTGCCAACATTGTCCACCTCATATAATATCACCTCATAAGTGTGAAGATCATTTATAATCAAGCCTCATATCTTTSCCCTCTATAAACAAAGAATTCAGTTAATCTAATCTTCCTTCAGAAGTTTGGTTCTTTTACATGTTTATCTTCAGGGAAATTACACTACATTTCGGTTGTCACTGAAAATTAAACTTTATAAATACCCCTTAAAACATATTATAATATATTATAGCTTAGATACTGGCCTCTGATGTTCTTTCCCACTGACTGATTTCCAAATCTCTGGTTTGCCAGGAGTTCTGAAATGGGTCATTTAACTTCCCATTTAAATCTATCTCATCATTGCCAACTCTGGTCAAAGATACAATTTAAATTTAATTTACCTCAAATGGTTGAGCAGGAAGAATAAAAAGCACTCCCCCAAACTAAAACCAAAGTACTCTACATCTCAGAGTTTCAAAAATATTAACCAAAAAAACAAAGAAAATTTTAATAATTAAACTCAGAGAAATTTGGGCTTTACACAAATTAATGTTGCTATGCATATTCAGAATGATGGTATATAGTCATTCTCCACATAGGACCACTAAGATTATTCACATTAAGCTAAGTGGTTAGTTTCACCTTATAACCAAACAAAACTAACTCAATGAAATAAGTAATTTAGAGTCTACTAATTCAAGAATTTAGATMTCTCTCTGTACATGCTAGTCCTACCCAAAAAGAAAGAAGGAAACTATCTTTCTAAGGTAAATCAGAAGGCCCTCTAGATTGAATATTACCATTATCAGTCAACCAAAATAACTAGAACTCTTCCCAGTAAGATCACTTATTTGGAACCTAGCATAGTACATGCCTTTTAGCCCAGAAATGTGGGAGACTCAAGCAAGAAGATCACAAGTTCAAGGCCAGGCTGGCCAATTTAGTGAGACCCTGTTTCAAAATGAAAAATAAARAGGGCTGAGGATGTAGTTCRGTGGTAGAGAACTTGTCTAGCATGCATGCAAGGCCTTGGGTTCAATTATTAGCACCAGAAACCAATCAATCAATCATTTGTCTGGAGGGTCAGCCTTTAACTTTTAGAATAATTTCTGTGCATTAAACCTCCTAAAAATGATTGTTAATAATATGCTATACTAATTTCTTTTCAGTACCCATGACAGCCAATGAAATGGATGCCACATGMCTACACAATGGATTTCAAATGCCTACAAAAGTCCTCATAGGGACCAACCTGGTGCAGTCCCCCTTGTCTTACATCCAAATTCCTAAAACAGGCCTTTCTTATTTCTCTGCATGCAGGTCCTTCTCCTTCCAAGCCATCCTGCATATCAGTTGAATCASTACACACTAAAATATTTCCCACTGAAAATACTGCCCTATGAAAAGCCAACATGAGAAAGATCTGCTGAGCAAACTGATGATATAACTATAGTAGATACTTTATAGCATGTCTTCTAGGAATAAAAATACAGGCTTCAGGAATAAAACCTGTAGACTATTAATAGGCAGTTGTCACTACGTTACATGCACTATTACTAACTTATTTCTCTCCTGTGATGAAGCAGTCAGAAGTAGTGAGACTTTATCTAYAGTGTGATTATATCCATATGAAAATGGAAGCACCAAATGCCTTTAAAATTATTTTATAATAGCCCTTTCACTAAGTCACAAATTTATCACTAAAAGCACAGTAGTCCCAAAACAATTAGCTGCCAGTCTCACAGGTGTCAAATCAGTATTTGGTCCATTGAGCCGAAATATTTTCTAATTCAGGGCACTAATTTCTCTCAATTCCATAAAACTGGCAGATAATTAGTACTTACAATTTGCCAAACACTTCATAGCTGACAGTACCCAATGAGGCAGTTCTTCTGCAGGAGAAATAAAAAATAAAAAGATTTTTTTTTCAATTCTATGTAACTCAAGGGAAAAAAATATATATATATTTATATATATATATATAAAGAATGTATTACTTGCCCAGGTAATATGAACATATGACCAATTTTTGCATCAGAACATTTCAAAGATAGAATTCTTTCTAAGCAGAAGTGTTATAACCTGTACTTTGATAAATGACACCTACAAATTTCTCTTAGGGCAATATGCACCATTAGAAAAAAAAAAATTGGGTAGTTTGGCCCAGAGAAATACATCAACAGACAAATCAATTAACCCTAAAAATTATGAAAGGCCATGAAAATTCAGAAGTAGCAAAAATAATACCCATTAAACGCATTTATGAAACAAAATAAATAGCAAAAAGTAAATTATGGGCTGGGGGTATAGCTCAGTGGTAGAGCACAGGCTTATCATGCACAGGGCCCTGGGAACAATACCCAACAACAACAACAAAAAGATACGTTCTTTTTTCTTTTGTTGTTTTTGTTTTAATGTAGATGGAAAATTTGCCTTTATTTTATTTGTTTATTTTTTTATGCAATGCTAAGATCAAACCCAAAAAGGTACCTTTTGTAGATCCAATGTAAGTTTCATTTTAGCTATTAACATTTAAAAAATGCTTTTGGCAAAGAAAGTTTTACAGACAAGTTAGTATTAGGCTATTAAGTATTAGGATAGCCTTAAAATAATAGAAGAAAAACACTGCTTCAAAAAGTCCCAGCTGAGCCTTTTCAGTCTCTGTCCTGCCACAGACACTGATGAGAAGGACCAACACTCAGGCTTCCACTTCATCTTCTTGGGTAAAAATGGGAAGACAATTTTGAATTGAGTAAACCCGAGTCTCCTGAACAGGAGTTTATAATATCCTCTCTTCCCTAAAGAACTTAAACAAAAGATGACTGGTCATCAACTGTAACTGCAAGTGTGTGCTACACTCAGAAAATGGGGAAGGATTTAGATGCACTTCTACAAAACTTAATGTTATATGGTGATATTAATTCAAAAACTCACAAAGTCACCACAAATCTATTTCTGCCTCCCATTGTCCTCCATTCCTGATAGAAGGGGTATGAAAGAGAAAGTGTTTCCATTTTTAAAGACAGACTCTGCTGCTGCTAGGTGACATGGACTAGAAATGCCTCCTGTCCTCTTACAGCTGCTCAGGCTCCTTCTGGTACCCTCTGTCTGCTGCTTAGGAGCCTCAAGCCCTGAATTTAATGTTTTATAAAATCCCAAGACGTATTATACTTACTATATTCTCACATCCAAAGGTCATTTAGTTCCAGCCAATCCTCAGCATCAAGAATTGAATTAAAAGATAAAACCAAAGAATAATAAAAATGGGAGTTCATAACCCACTTGAATCAAAGTGTGAAATATGATATATCAAGAACTATGTAATGTTTTGAACAACCAACAATAAAAAAAAAGAAAGGGAAATAAGACAAAAAAAAAGAATTGGGTATTTTGCTATTCAATGAATATAAAGTTTCAGTTAGCAAGATGGATAAGTTCTAGAGATGTTCTATAGAATTAACAATACTATATTGTGCACTTAAAAGTATGTTAAGTGGGTGGATAATACATTAAATTTTTTCACTACAATAAAAAAAAATCTAAAAAAAAAAAAAAAGAAACCAAAGAATAAAATAAAAGCACACAACCAATTCTGGTTCAACCCTCACCCATAGGAAGAAAGTTGTTTTGTTTGTTTTTTATTTTTATTTTTAAATGTACATGACAGTAAAGTGTATTTTGGCATATATGCATACATGGAGTATAACATTCTAATAAGTATCCCATTCTTGTGGTTGAACATGATATGGAGTTACCCTGGTCATATATTCATATTAACATAGGAAAGTTATGTCCAATTAAAACAAACCTAGGAATTGTTGGGCACTATAGGCATCACTATACTATAGTGATATGACTATATATTTCCAAATCAAAAACTGGGTTAGGTAGGTAATGAAATGTCTTTTTCTTCCCTCCAATTTATAAATGGGTCTGGAGGAAAAGGTATGAAATACCCTCAACATTTAAAGAAGTACCTTGTTTAAAAAAAATGACATAAATCAAGAAGACTATACCAGGTAATCTGATACAAAGACATATCATGAAAAAGTGAGCCAGAAGCTAAAGGCAGTGGATCCGAGCCCCCATGTTAAAACTGACTCACTTGGTTAGGTCTTAAACATCCTTACTTTCCAGAGGGTTTTACCTAGGGATAACACAGAACCACTTAGTGGTAGGTGGGGGCAGGGGGGTTACAATGAACTAGTCTCTAGATGGATTCTGCTAAGGTTTTCAYTTCTGGACACTCATCTCTCCATGACATTTTCTTTATCCAAAAAATTAGMCAAAAGGTTTTTTTTTTTATTTTTTAGTTTTTTGTTTGTTTGTTTAAGTATTGTGCAATGAGAGAAAGATATATGAAAGGAAAGGATAAAGTTGCTTAGGTTTAGGGAAGGGTCAAAGAGGAGCTGATGGATCTGCAGAGCCAATGTGCCAGGTCAACCAAGAACAAATGGTTTTCATGCACTTACTTGACTTGTCATCAAGGATAACCACTCCCTGCTTGCTAACACTATATACATTATGGACGATGAACTTGGAGTTGACAAATTTGACATCTAAAACTTCTTCTAAGGAGTCTAAGCCAAGGATTTTCTGTAAACTAGAAGATAAATAATAATCATTATTAACCTTGAAACCTGGTGCTGCAAAACCTTATTCTTTAAAGGGCATTATTGTCATGCACTTCACCCAACCATTGAAGGCAAACTTAGCAGAAATGGAATACAATTTWAAAATAAAAACCTTAAAATATATCCTTTTGCCATTAACATACTACTTTAATGATTCAGTAATACAATGCTTTGAATTCCAAGAAAATAATTTTATAAGAAAAAATATTATACAATCAAAAACTAATTTATCCAATGATGACAAATTGCTACTAGTATATCTTTGTGAGAAAAAATAATTGCTGCAATACTCTTAACTTCAATTATACCTATAATTCTTCATACATGAGACCAAATTTTCCCTCGTGTTTATTGTTTAAGATTTCAATGTTACTCAAAAGTTAAACTCTTAAATTCCTATTTAAATAGCAATAGAAAATTTTCAGAATTTAAATTGTTTGCTAAACAACATAGCTACAGATTATGCAAAAGTTGAGATTTTTTCCATAATTTCAGAAATTAAATATGCAGAGAATAATGAAGATACAAAACAGAAAACAAAATCACTAAAATTTCTCATAGATATCAAATGTACATACTATGATAATGTCATAGACTTCCATATTTCTTCTACATTGGCCTCTGTCAGCTGTCTGCGGTGGACAAGACGGCAAGCAGGCACCTCTCCAATAGCAATACTGTGACGCTTGAACCACATCTCAGAATTCTAATTTGGGAGGTGGGGAAGAAGGAGGAAAGGAAGGAGAAGGAATAGTAAGAGAGAATAAATCTTTCAATATATAGGGTATGATTTGATAAGAATAATTTGATTTAAGATAAATAATTACAATTACAAACTAACTTTCTTTGTGTGGACCAATGAGAAATGAGTAAAGGACTCTTAAGATTAGGTCATATTATAGATGAATGTTTATAAATTACAAAAGAACAACATCAATAAGCATGACAGTAAACAGTACCTACCTTCATTTACTATGGTAATTTCAACTACTCAGTGAAGCCGAAGTGTCATTAATATAAAAACAATTTTTTTTGAAATGGGGTTTTGCTAGGTTGCACAAGCTTGTCTGAAACTCCTGGGCTCAAGGGATTCCCCCTGCCTCAGCCTCCAAAGCGGCCAGAAGCACAGGCATGGTCCACCACACTTAGCACAGTAAAATAACTTTTTATTTTTTGAGACGTGGTCTTGCTGATTGCTGAGGCTGGTCTTGAACTTGAGATCCTACTGTGTCAGGCTCTGGAACATCTGGGATTATAGAAGAATGCCACTGTGCCCAGCTCATAAAATAATTTTTTATTAATTTACAATTAAATTGAGGAATACCTATTCAAATCCACACACTGTCCAAATTGAGTGATTAATTAAAATAAAACTAAAGTAGATTACTTTGGCAAATTTTCTAAAGCAAATGTCAAATAAATACACTATTGGAAAGCAGCTCAAAAGTGGCATCTGCCAAGGGAGAACCAAGAACTCAAGGACAGCTGAGGACACCAGAAGAGAAGAGAAGGAATGAACCCCTTTCCACAGAGGAAAAATCTAAAGCTTAGAGGGGTTAAATAATTTTCCCCAAGTCACTCAGCTCTGCCACATTATTCTTAGGAGCTCACATTTAGACTACTAGACATAAGTTACAAAACTTTCTTTTCATAATCACAGAGAAGAATTTGGACATTTAAAAGGCAATACACGGGCTGGGGTTGTGGCTCAGTGTAGAGCGCTTGCCTAGCATGTGTGAGGCACTGGGTTTGATTCTCAGCACCACATAAAAATAAATAAAGTTTTTTTAAAAAAGGCAATATATATAAGAAATCACAAAGAATTTCTATGATTTTTTTTTTTTTTTTTTTACAAAAAAAAAACAGAAAAATCTTACTTGTAAAAAAAAAAAGGGGAAGGAATTTTCTGGGATTTCTTTTTTTTCTTTTTTCTTTCTCCTTTTTTTTTATGTGTGTGTATTGCTGGGGATTGAACTCAGGGCCATGTGCATGCAAGGCAAGCACTCTAATAATTGAGCTATATCTCCAGCCCTGGGATTTTTTTTTAATTGGTTTTTGGTTTTGCTTTTAAAGAATTACTGAACTACAAAAGAAATTCAAAGGCCACATGCATGTGTGAATTTCTAAGCATCCAAAACAGGTGTTTTAGAAGGAAAAGTTGGAGGTAACAACATTTGTCTAGCAAGTCTACTTACAAATCTTTCCTAAAAAAAAACTCATGAATATATTCAAATAATTGTCTGTAAAGGTATTGCTTAGCACATTGTTTATATGTTGAAAAACTGGAAATACTGTAAACGCCTAACAATAAAGGAGTAGAGAAGTAAAATATCAATTTTATATTGGACATGAGGCAGGCATTAAAAATAATGTTGGATGTTGAAAAGCATGAAAACAATGAGCATAGTACGCTGTTGTAAGTGAAGAACTCAGGCTCCAAAACAGCCCAGCATGACCTCATTTCTGAGTTAAAAACATGCATAGAAAAAAAGGATATACAATAAAAATATTAATAATAGAAATTCTCCCTAGGTAATATTATGAGTAATTCATTTTCTTCTTTCTCTTCCTATAAACAATTCTATGAAATAATTTATTATGGCAATAGTTCTTAATGCTGAGAAACTGTGTATCAGGTGCTATTCTAAGCACCTTTTTTTTTCTCCTTTGAAAAATATTTTAATTAAGAAAGGATAACATGTTTTAGGTATTACTTTTACTACCTTAAGTAGTGCTAAAAAGTAATCTGAATTGCTATTCCTTATTATAACTAAAAAAACACAACCAAAGGAAGTTGTGAAATTTGTAACAGGTGTTTGGGGTCATTAAATATAAGGGTTCTTCTTTTCCTTGGGATAAACACCATCTATTCCTTGAAATGTATTACTACCATAAAATTTCATAATATAGATGGCAGTGTAAAAATGTATAATACTGGGCTGGGGTTGTGGCTCAGTGGCAGAGTGCTTGCCTTGCACAAGTGAGGTTCTGGGTTTGATCCTCAGCACCACTTAAAAATGCATAAACAAAATAAAGACATTGTGTCCATATATAAGTAAAAAATATTTTTTAAAAAATGTATAATCTATAACTAAGCTTTTTATAATTTAGCACTAAATGTAACTTCTTACATGTTCCCAAGTTATATAATAATATATCAAGAAAATGACAAAAATTTAAGAGTTCTTTTTCTTAGCAAATTAATACAAACTTAGCCTCACTTTCATACTGTTACAGAAATATCTATACTATACCATGTATTATACATTCCTTACTGAGTCAATACAAATTTCAAATGTGCAATATTAAATGAATTCTACCTACTCAAAGTAAATTTTTAAAAAATAAAAAATATAGTAGGTAATGATCATCACATTCCACCATTATTAATTACCCCATGTCTCCCCTTCCCCTCCAACCCCTCTAGATAGAGTTTGTCTATTCCTCCCATGTTCCCACTCCCTATATAAATAAAAAAAAATACATAAAAATATAGTAGGTATCCCTTAAAATACACAATGGAGACATTCCAAGCACTTTGTAGGTACGAACTCAACTCCATTTCCACAGCAACCCTACCTTGGAGGGATGAGTATACTGATCAGAGAACTCAGACACAAGCACATGGATGATAGAGACACACGCTCAAACAGCCTCAACCTGGAGAAGCCACAATTTGTACCCAGCAGTTTGACACCAGAGCCCACACAGCAAATAACCATATTTGCTTTATTTTATTTTGTTTGTTTGGGTTTGGTTTGAAATAATGGCTATGTAAGATAGCCAAAACATAAACCAAAAACAAACAAACAAACAAGCAAACCGAAGACAGAGACAGAAAGAAAAAGTTAAACAACAGAAAAGAACAAGCTCAAGTTTCATAAAGGATGAACTGTTTATTAGTTGACAACTTCATCATTCTAAAACTTCATCAAGGGCCCCACTGAGGACACTTCCTGCTCTGCCATTTCCCTTTGAATTATCCTAAGAAGCAGGAGCCCAAGCTTTGGTGGAATGATTGTAGGCATGCAACCCCTTCCCTACACCTTAGGAGTTTTTGTTTTATGCAAAAGATTTATCGAGTGTCCCTGCGTGCCAGGCATCATGCAAGGCTCTACAAAGACAGTARTGTGTGAGAAAACAGTTTTATGTGTAAAACAAACAGGGAGTGCAGCCCCTTCCCTACAAATAAGGGGTTGGGAGGGGGGGTGTGGAATACAAGCAAAGGCAGGACAAAGTCACAAATAAATAAAAAGAGATATGGATACAAATGGCCAGGGATAAACATAGGCTTAAGCAGGGAGGAGGCTGGTAAATCTGGGACTCTGGCATATTAATTCAGATCTCCCCAGAATTAAAACTGAAAATAGAAGTCGCTGTTTTTAGTGCAAAGCCCTGAACAATGGGTTGAGATGTTCTATTGAACACTTGGGTATTCTTAGTGGGAGCACCAGGAACATTATAACTTCACAGAACCAGGTAGAACAGAAGAGGGAATCATATCAGTGGCATAAAAGCACATTGATATGAGATTCTATCTTATGTAAACAATACTGGATGAGTTTTAAATGAAATCATGATTGTTGAATAACAACTCTACAATCATATTCCCCGGTGTTTAAATTCAAATGTTCTAAAAACATACCTGATCTCTTAAAATTTATATTTTAATTTTCTATAGGACAAGAACTATTGACTGCACCTTGACTAAGTACTCCTAATTGGACATAAATAGTCCTCTAATAGCACTCACTCTTCCGTGTACTTTTTATTGTGTGCTTTATTGGACAACAAGTCCTTTCAGAATAAAAACTGTCACACATTACTGTCTTTGTAGAGCCTTTCATGATGCCTAGCATGTAGAGACACTTGAAAAATCTTTTGCATAAATAAGTTTAAGCAAAGGGAGACATCAAATACAGCGTCCCCTCTAAGTTCCAGGGCCATTGTCCCTATCTGCCTGTGAGACACCTACATTTACTACCATCCATCTTTATCACCAAATTTATCACCATTCCTGACACATCCACAAGTTCCCTACAGAGTCCCCATTTTGGTCACTGGTATCACTCTTTTCCTTGTAATCATTTAGAAAAAAATCTAAGCTTTTTAACTGTTTTCTCCAAAATGAGACATTATACAATTTCTTCAGGGAAAAAAAAAATATATATATAAATATATATATTTATATATATATAAATATATATTTTATATATATATATAAATATATATATAAATATATATATTTTTATATATATATATATATAGTTTCTTTTAATTACTTGGCCTAAAAATAGTTTCATCATATCTTTACAAATAAAATTATTTTGGCTGTCTAGTTGCATAAGACTAGATTAACTTAAAACCATAGGTTAGCAAAATTCTTTAAAATCACCTTATCAAAGTTTTTCTCTGTATTTTATTTTTTAGCGTTATCTCAATCTTGGTAGTCATCAACTAGGGATATTTTAAGGAGAAGATATGTAAAAGAAGAGTGAGTCTAAACCACAGTGAGCTGAGGTTTTCCTACACTAGAAGAATCTGTCTTTGTTCATATATTGTGTCAAGGATCATTCTACAATATATCATGCCCTACCCTTCTTACTTTCGACTATTAATAATAACAAACTTCAGGAGAAAAAARCAGAAGAGGTGTAAGTCATGGAGCAGACAAGAAAAAAAAGGATTGCAATGGGAGTTTTAACAGATATTTGCTCTGACTGAACACAAGAAAACAGCTACCACATATTCTGTCAAACTGTCGATGGGTAAGAGTGAAAAAATGTAAGAGCCGATCTTTCTTGGTTAACTATCTCTCAGCTGTTGACAGGTATGATATTGTCTTATAGTACTTCAAGGCCATTGTTCATAAGGCACTAACAGAAGCAACCGGCCCAGACCTGGGCATTATCAGATAATGTCTTTTAGTCGCAGCACTTACCAGCACAACTGGCCTCACTGGGATGTTCTCCTGCGAGGTGCCCGGTGGGGGATCATTCCATTCTGGAAATTTAATAATATTCTTTTGGTATAGGGGCTTCTTTGGATATGGCTTCAGGGGTGAAGAAGGAGGAAATCTAAAAATCCAGAAGAAATGTTCTATTATTAGGATAAGTGGGAAAACCAGATTATTTTAATAGTAGTTCCCACATTTTGCATAAGAATTCCACACTTTAGATAATAAATGATCTTATACTTCATCAAATTATTACATGGCTAATTGTATCCAATAATAACAAATTTTTACAAAATATTCATTATGGGCTGGGGTTGTGGCTCACTGGTAGAACACATGCCTCGCACGTGAGGTACTGAGTTCAATCCTCAGCACCACACAAAAATAAATAAATAAAGATATTATATCCATCTACAACTAAAAAAATATTTTTTAAAAATATTCATTACCTCTAGATAGGGAAGAGAGGTGGGGGAGAAAGGGAGGGAGAATGGGARTTGCATGGAAGAGGGAAGGAGACCCCCTTCGTTATACAGAATACAGGTATGACGATGTGAGGAAAAAAAAAAAGAAGTGGGTCACATTAGATTGGGTAGAGAGAAGTGATGGGAGGGGAGGGGAAGGGAAGGGGGGATAGGAAGGACAGCAGAATAAAATAGACATTATTATTGCTGTGCGTATATATGTGACTGCATGACCAATGTAATTCTTCAACCTGTACACTCAGAAAAATGAGAAATTATATCCCATCTGATTCAAATAAATTTTAAAACAAATTAAAAAATGGAAAAAATATTCATTATGCCCCTCAAAATTTATGGAGAAAAACAGCCATCAAATATGTGATATTGTTAAAAATAAATAAAACTTGTTCCCWTGTCATAGGATTTTCATGATTAAAAATGCTGTTAATGGGAGGCTTAGCCCTTTGTTTTACTCAGCTTGAAATTCTTAATGCTCATAACTCAAGCCAAAACTTGTAGAAATAGAAATTACTGATAGCAAAATCCTCAATAATACTTACTGAATAATACATTAATATGGAAGTCATTTGGCCTAGTAATCACTTTTATAACTGCTTCTAATAAAAATTAACCCTCCTTCTTTTGAATATCTAACAATTCACACTGAGATTTAAGCTTCAGTCTAGAAATCTGTCCAGAAGGAGCTAGAAAGCTGCCCAGTATCTTTCTTCTGCCTTTCTACACAGCTTCCCTGTTCCTAGCCTTCCTGCATATCAGTAACATCACTTTCCGAACAAGCACACACAAGCCTGCATAAATTCCAACTCTCTAAAATGGTCTATACCATAACTGATAAGGAACTGAAACTAAATATTTATTCCTCAGAGGATCTTTTTTTAATAAACTTGTTAGAAAAGAACACATTGCAAATGCATTGCATGGCTGCGGGTGTAGCTCAGTGGAACAGCACTTGCCTAGCATGCACAAGGCTCTGGGTTCCATCCCCAGCGAAGAAGAAGGAGAAGAAGAATGTGGAAACAAAGAATTTTAAAATGTCTATACTTTTCAAGGAATGTTTATATCAAGGTAAATCTAGAGAATCATAAATAATAAGAGCACTCTGGAGATATTTTCAAAAAACAGTCTCAAGAGACTTGAAAAGTGATAACTAATAGAGAAAAGTTGAGTTTCATCTTCTCTAAAAAAAATATCCAATAACTACTTTCACAGTGAGGAAAAAAAATGAAGTCTGAAAATCATTAAAACAAGTGAAAGATAAATAAACCGAAAGATAGTTTAAAATCAAGTTACCAAAGAAGTTTTCCCAAGAGTCCAAACCACAGGAAWTTCTAAAGCCAGTCAAAAGCACAGCACTGTGTAAGTAAAGGCTGACTTACAGAACTCAAGTCCAATTTCTTGGAAGCCAACAATAATGACAAAAGTTCTATTTCCAGCCAAACTATAGCACTCAAATATACAAAGCAAACACACATTCACATACACATACAATATTATATATAATTTCAGGAATTCACAGACTACCCGCCTCTCAGTCCTTTAAAAGTTAAACACAATRCCTACCCCACCACCAAGACCCATGGCTTATTCTCCCACTTCATTCCCTCAAATATGGTGTAAAATTTTTAGACCTGAGTTCCAGGCTTAGCTTTCTCGTGAATTATCCATATTGCCTTTGAAAGAGAAAAGTCTCAAATAACCCAATCAATAAATGGGCAAAGGAACTGAACAAGCACTTCACAGAATACGATTGTCAACAAATATATAAAGAAATGTTCATGGTACTGGTATCAAAACAGGCAGGTAGACCAATGGTACAGAATAGAGGACACAGAAACCAATCCACAAAATTACAACTACCTT